GGAGCCTGCCTCGGACTTATTTCAATGCTTCTCTGTTGTGAGGACACAGAAAATGGAATTTGTTAAATCAGTAGTCCAGAAGTCAAATTTAGTATATTGGAAATAATCTCCCAGTGTAGATATGGCCTAGATATTTTAAACTGGAGTTTAGGGTTTGGCTCATTTAGACACACTGGCTACATCTACACTGCAATCTTCTTGCACAAGAACTGTTCTGTGCCAGAGTTCTTGCGCAAAAGGTCTTGCGCAAGAGTGCGTCTACACTACCATGTGCTTTTGCACAAGAGCGTCCATGGCAGCATGGACGCTCTCTTGTGCAAGAAAGCTCTGATGGCCATTTTAGCCATAGGGATTTCTTGCACAAGAAACCCCTGTTGCCCGTCCACACTGCCTTCTTGCTCAAGAGCTCTTGTGCAAGAGGACTTATTCCTCGTGGGGAGAGGAATAACTCTTGTGCAAGAAGCTCTCTGTTCCGACGCTTTACTGTAAATTTACTTGCACAAGAACATGCGTGCAATGTAGACGTGCTGCAAGTTTTTGTGCAAAAACCGCTGTTCTTGCGCAAGAAGCCTGCAGTGTAGATGTAGCCATTAAGTTTGGTGCCTGGAGCCTTGCCTTTAACTTAAGGCAACTGATCTGGTCTGGTGCTGAAAATGGCATTCTTTTTTGTGATCAGAAATTCTCACAGCAGGAAACCCTGTGATTTTTGTTTTCTCAAAACCAGATGAAGTAACTCAAATGGAATAATAAGTCCCGAGGAAGGCACTCAGCATGCACACAACGGGCCTGCCATAAGCGAGCATGGTCCTACCTCTCCCCTTCCTGACACGTCTGGTATCGATAATTTAATAATTATTGTATGAATAATTATACATAATAGTAAAAGTTGATAAAGTAAGGTTAATTGAGGATAATAGGATGCCTAGGAGAGAATAAAACTATCTTGATATCTTAATTGGTCTGCAGGGAATATCACAGACTCTCTTTGCAACAGCAATTTCCTATGTTAGCTAGGGATGAGAGAGTATAGCAGTGTACATGCCAATGAGTCTGGGTTCATTGGTTAACCATCACAGTTACACACAGGCTCCTGGTACACTCTGGGAGCCCTATACTCACTAGCTCCTGGAGAGCCACTTCTCATGTCAGCCCCTCACGCTGCTGCCTCTGTATCAGAAGGAGCAGCAGGGGTGGGGAGCTGGCAGGAGCCGGTACAAAAGCTGGCTCCCTGCATGCACTGCAAAAGCAGTAGCATGGGGTGTACACTGGCTCCTGGGGAGCTGTCTACCCCCCTTCCCTGCATGTACGGTTACTTTATTACATGCATTTTAACATTCCTAATGTTAGCACAGCAAGCATCTGCCTTGTGAAATGAGATATATTGGTTGCCAGGTGTCCAGTTTTCAACTAGAAAGTCTGGTCCAAAGGGCACCTGGGCAGTTCTGGTCAAATGTACTGACCAAATACCAAAAGTCTGGTTATTGTGGGTGGGAGGAGGGGATGGGGAGAGATGCTGGGTCATCAACCCACAACAGTTCCTGTTCAGCCAGGGCTGTCTATGACCTGCATCTTGTGGGCAGCCAATGGCAGCATCAGGAACTGCAGCGTCTGACCCAGTCCTGGATTGGCGGGAGCCCAGGCGGTGGCAGTGGGGAACAAAGGTGAAGACAAGGAAGAGGGGAAGGGCGAGAGCAGTGAGTGACAGGAATGGAGAGAGAGGAATGGGTAAGGCTTTGTGAAAGAGGTAGGGCAGGGGTGGGGCCTTGGGGCAGAGTGGAGTATCAGGGAAAAGAAGTGGGTCAGGAATTTCCTATCCTCCTACTGTAGTGTCTGGGTTTTGCGCATTAGAAAATTGGCAGTTCTAGACATATACGTCCTAAATGATATGGGTAATATGAAATCACTTAAGTTCAGTAACACTGCCTACTGCATTCAGAGCATTGCTTTGGGATGTCACTGAAGATTTGCAGGCATGCGCTGTGATAGGACGATACTCATCAAGGGGAACTTGTTTAGTGAATCATATGTAAACAAAACTGGAGATGAACCTAATACTAAAATGGGAAATGTTATGTCCAAGTGTCATTTTAGTGCCAGATGGTTCTTGTAAGCCTTTCAGAAGTATTCAAACTGTACATTGCAACCATTCCATACCTGACATTCTAGTAAACATGAATGGAATTTGACAGGAGGCTGAACAAATAGAATTCAATAAAAATGAAAGCTGAAGCAAATGAAAATTGGTGGTCTCTGAAGTATGATCATGCTTCCTAATTGATCTAAACAGTATTTATCCACATTTGCATACATTTATATTTTATATGCATATATCATTCCACAAAATATCTTTTTTGGTACACTATTGCCTGAGCTGTATTTTTATCATGGGAACTTTTTGGCTAATGTCATGGATTAGTGACAGCAAAACATTTTTTTAAAGGTTATGGAATTGTCATAGGAACAGTCAAATAGAAATGTCAAGTACAAAAATAATGGAAAGCTGCTGAAATGTCTACAAGCTTAAAGGGAAGGGTATTGCCTTTAAGGAGCACTGTTACTCATGTAGAAACAAACCCTGTTCATGTTTGTAAGGATAACAATACTAGACATTACTAAGTGCTTCTAAAACTCTCAAAGCACTTTACAAGCATTGCAGTTACAGAATACCCCTGATTATGGGTTGATTGGCTTCTTCATTACCTAATAGAGTTGCGATTGAACCTATATCCCAGATGCAAATGCTCCCTAATTATTGAAAAGTTCAAATCTGGAACCATATTTTTCAGCTCTGTCTCATGTCAAGTGATTAATAACTCTTTGCCCTGATTTTAAAAAGGAGCTGAGCACTAGCAGCCGTTACTGGCTTCATGGGGGACTGGAAAATCATTGCAGAAAATCAGGTCCATGTCCAGTATTTTCAGACTTAGTTGTTATAACATGGTGTTAGATGCCATCATTGAAAATGCTGGCCTGAGTAAAACTGCATGGTACTAAGTGGGCTTGAGTCTGATTTTGTTTGCACCCATATAAATAAGGAGTAGTGTCATCGAGTTGGGTGAATGACATCAGTGTAAAACTGGTGTGAGATCAGAATCAGGTCTCGTGAATGTGCCTTAGCAGGAAAATATGCTGAATATTTGCATGTGCTGGAGCATAGCACTATCTCCTTTCTGCTCAAGGTGCATTGGCTGTCAGACTAGATGCTTATCCTACACAGCCAAATCACCTCTACCACTTCATCTTAGTGAAAACAGAATCATTTAGGCATTTATTTTATCATATTCATCTAATAGCACTTCAGTCTAATGTAAATACAAAGTCTTAAGGCTGGAGTGCTGATACAATGCTGCTTTTTGGCTGTGCTGTAATTTTACCTCTGGAGAAAGCAGGAAATTGGCTATTCTATTGTAGCCTTACTTTGGGAGGAGTGGGTGCATCCATTATGATTCCTTAAAAAGGATTGCTTCAGTAGGTAGGAAATGGGATTTTTCAGAGAATACAATTCTTAGAAAAGCATCTGTCAAAGTAGGCAGCTGGCCAGCCATTTACCAAAGTGACTGAAGTTCTCAATTCCAGACAAGTAATACGAACACAAAGAACTCAGCTGTGGCCTTAGCCTTGGGCCTGCTCTAGGGCTGCTCTTGGAGGGTTTATGCCTCTCTCAATCTCCAGGGGATGGCTCCTACCATGACAGTGTAAAGGGGCACTGTGCTCACTATGCACATGTCCTTCCATCCTTGCATCATCCTTCTCTTGCCCACTTACACAAGGGCCAGGCACAGTTTGGTCCTAAATAGCAAGCAGAGTAATTGGTCTGATTTTCAGATTCCTGAGCACCCCTCGGATCCCACTGACTAAATTGACCGTTATGATTGCTCAGAGCTCCTGAAAATCAGTCTCTTAGAATTTCCAGCATGCTTTAATCATTTAAAATATACCCAAGTGGCTAACTGCCTTTTACCAGTTCTTGTATTTGCAGCCCATGCCAAATTGACACATGTTCTAGGTGAGCTACTTGTGTACACAAACACGTGCACTAGTTGTTTTACTTAACACCATGTTTTATGATTATTCAGTGAAATAAGATGGTTGAATTGTGCGCTGAATGAGTAATTGGCTCTTGGAGTGGGATGTGGCATTTTGTTTTGGGAAGTTTGTTGGTTGGTTTGGTTTTGGTTAGATGGCTGAACAGAAAAATCTGAACAAAAAAATTCTTTCAAGCCAAAACTGCTATTTTTCAATTTTTCACACTGAAATGAAAAATTATTTTTCTTCAGGTTTCTATTTGTAATTTTTTTTAGTTTTTTTTAAACTTAAATTTCTTGAAAACCAAATCTAGTTTATTTCATACAAAACATTTCAAAAATTAAAAATTAAAATATTCCATTTTCAAAGTGTCAAAACAGGTTGCATTTTTTTATTTTAATTTGGCTACAAATATTTTCCAAATTTCAGCCAAATCAATTAATAGCTGTTGTCACTCTGTAACTACATTTTTCAATGAATTTACTATTGAACTGAAAAATTTTGCCATGAACCCTGAGTTCTTCATAGCAATGTAAGTGTGTGTGTGTTCATTGCTTCTTATAAATCTATAAATCTTATAACATTTTTGTTATAAACATTTTTCAGGAAAGCACAGATGAAGTCTCTATAGCAAATGCAGTTTTGTCTTAATATACAGTATTGTCTTTGCCTTGCCCTATTATTGTATGGCAGTTCTTGACTTGAATATTCTGGGCTCTCTACTTTTCAATAGCTCTCCCATTGATGTAAGTGGGAGCTCTGTGCATATAGACTAGACTGAGTGTAACAGAACTTCAGAGATTATACCCTCAATGTGGATTTGGGAGTAAAAAGCCTTCAGCATGTTCACTATTTCTCCAGCACAAGTTATTGCAACATTAAGCTATATATGATTATAAAAAGATAATTCCAAACCATGAGGGCTGTTTTTTCAACTCTTTTATTGCTTGCTTGTTTCTGGGCTGTTTTGGCAGGTCCTGTGTAACAGATATGTGTGAGTGTCCAGTTCATAAAAACTGCTACTGTGAGTCATTCCTTGCCTATGCCCGAACCTGTCAGAGAGAAGGGGTGAAAGTCCAGTGGAAACCTGAACAACACTGTGCAGGTAAGGATACTGTGATTGTTTTGCCACAATTTAATGCACAGTCTGAAGGAAAGAACATTGTAGTTTTTTATATCATTATGATGCTGGAGGGAAAAAATAAAGAAATCAATAAAGAGCTAAATAAACATGTTACAGACCGTGAAATTAGCCCTGTCTGGTGAAATCTGATCTTCCTGTGCTTCTGAGAGCACCCTTGCCTAGGGCTCATAGCTGGTAGTCTGCCAGGCTGGGGAGGGACAGGAGTTGTCTTTTCATTGCATGGTTGCTCTCAGTGGGGAGACCAGACCCACACTCAGAGGCAGCACAGAGGTGAAGATGACATGCCCTCACTTCTGTGCTGCTGCAGCCCTGGAGTTGGGCTCTGGGCTTCTGCCCTGGCAGCATCTGCCCAAGCTCAGGGATTCTGCTCCCTTCCCACTCCTCACCCAGCTCCTGGCAGGGCTGCAGTGCACTTCGTTAAAGCACTCTATGCTGATGGAAAAGAGCTCTCGCATCTGCATAAAAAAACCCTCCTCTGTGAATGGCAGAAGCTCCCCCACTGACAGAGTGCTATGCACACGGACTCATGTATCTGTGTAACTTCCTCCCTCCCACTTCAAGCAACATACATGATACCGACATAGGCTATAGTGTAGACAGAGCCTAAAATACCCAAATCCACTGGGATCTGGGCCTCTCTTGGACCTATTAGCAAATACTGGCCAGGATTGAGGCTTTTTTCAAAGCCGCTAAGGTGATTGATACGTGCATCTTTCATTAATTGCACTGGAAATTGTGTGTCTAAATTCCCTGGGCTTTGAAAATCACAGGGCTGGCTAAGATTTGCAGAAGGACCCCAGGGAGGCCCAAATCCTCTACAGTTCCTGTAAAAGATGTATCTTGCCCCCATTTACAGATCTCCATGGGCCAGCAGATACTCTGGGTCTGACCATCTGACACTTAGTTCTGCATACACGGTGAATATCTCGTTGGTGTCAGGGCGGCACATTTTATACTGCAAAATTGTAGGGATTCTGTAGGAAACTCATAAAAAACCAAAGTGCTGCTTCTTATGATAACAATAACCAGTAACAAGGTTTTAAGCTTTAACTGCCTTTTGCTCAACCGTACCATTACAATTATGTTGTCCTAAAAAGTGATCAACATTTCTAGTTAAGAAACAATATATCTGTAACAAAATTTAGTAATCTGTGACTTTCATTTCCTCTTTGACATCTCATAGCTAGCAGGATATTTGGAAGGTTTGTGTTATAATGGGAATGGGGTGTGGTTATTAACAAAGTCAGGTTTTAATTATTCTTTTGTGTGTTATAAAACACAGGTCTCATGTGCTTGCCAATTCTTATACCCAGAGGACTGTATGCCTAGGTCAGGGATAAATAATATTTTTTAGAATACTTATGCTTTCTAGACTGTCAGCCAAATGGGATGCACAGGAGACTAAATATATGTCCTGTTTTCTACACACCTTTTTCCCTTCTTATGAGAAAGTGGATCCTCTAGCTACTCATTTCCTAAATGAGTAGCACATGCTCACTGCTGTTTAAGGCATACAGTACACTGGTGATATAAGATGACTCTAAAGAAAAGGGTGTGGAAAAGTCATTAGTGAATGGGAGATTTGTTAGAAAAGGATAAAGATTAAAAATGGGTTATGGTATGATGGGATCAGTGAGACCAGTGTGGAAACTGAGACGTTTTGGAAGGGCTCTGTGAGAAAGAGATGAATTGAGAGGCAGAAGCTTTGAGGATACACCTGTGGGACAAGAAAGCATATGAAGGAAAAAGAAAGTAGCTGATGAGACAAGAGGAGAAATAATGGAAGAGGCTGAAGAGGATAGGAAGAGAAGTGAGGGGGTTGATGAGGGGAGCAACAGAATGGGAATGAAGAGATGAGCAATAGTCTGATGAAGACAGAGAGGAGATGTTTATAGAGCTGAGGATGGAAAAGAAGCATCTCTAGTCAGGGTGACTGAGGCACTGTGGTGTTTTTGCAATGTAGTATTAACCTTTAGCCTCTGGAGCTCTGAAGGCACCTGTAGAAGATTCAGTCTGGATAAAGAGGAAGTAATTCCCCTTGAAGGATCTGGCTGTAGCAATACTAAAGAAAAGAGAAGACATGTTTCAGGCAATGATAAGGAGGGAGGTGCAGGTACTAAAATTGAGAAAACCACTTAATCCAGAGACTGGCTTGCTTCCCTGAGCTCTTGTCAGCTAAGTGATCTTCTCCTTTGATTCCTGTGTGCTGAGAGCTGCTGTTCGAGGGTGATTCCAGGTGTCATCATTTCTACCTATGTGCTGGTTTCAACCAGCGGTTTTGCCCTCCTCGTTCCCTCTCTGCTGCAGAATTTGTCCCTGGCAGAATTTTTCCTACCTTCCTCTGAACAGTTTCCTCCGTGCATGAGAGAGGAGAGCTCTTTTATCTTTTTCATGAACATCTGGTAGAAGTTGGAGCAGTTAAAAATACAAGCAAAACTGTATAATTAAAAGGCTTGTTTAGGTTCCCTCCTTTCCACTGGCAGGGAAGCTCCTGAAATGAGGTGCCCATGTATGATATTCTGACTGGATGCCCTAAGAAGCATCAGGAAAGGAAAGGCTGGACAACAATAACAGAAAAAAGCAGCACTTAGTTATGATTTGGAAAAATCCAGACTCCAAAGTTTTGTAGTCTTGAGAATGAAGAAAAGCAGCTCGAGGCTGACCTGAGAAAGGCAGCTGTTTGGGACCCTTATTATCTTAATAAGATTTGTCAGAGATCAGGACTGGATGCCCTAAGAAGCATCAGGAAAGGAAAGGCTGGACAACAATAACAGAAAAAAGCAGCACTTAGTTATGATTTGGAAAAATCCAGACTCCAAAGTTTTGTAGTCTTGAGAATGAAGAAAAGCAGCTCGAGGCTGACCTGAGAAAGGCAGCTGTTTGGGACCCTTATTATCTTAATAAGATTTGTCAGAGATCAGCAAAAGACAAAATGGTTCAAAAATTTGTAGCTGACATATGCAACGTGGAACAAGTGACCTTCACTGCACAGTGATTAACTAGAAGCAGTAAATCCCTACTGATACAAAACTAGATATGGGCAGTTAGGCGCTAGTTCTTAAAAGCCGAAAGTCAGGGGCAGATTGTAAGCAACAGTACCAAACATCTGTTTCAGAAGAGTGTAAAAATGCTAGTGAAGTGGTAATGGTGGAAAATGCTGTATTCTTCATCACATTGGTAGTTTGTGACAAATGGCCAATGCTATTGTAATGGGTTCCATGCTTTTCTTTGATGTGGAGGGTCAGGGCTTTTCTAGTGCCCTGGAGGGGGAGAAAAGGGCAGTGGGCAAGGTATCCAGGTCTACCTAGAGTTGCCAGATGGTTTCAACAAAAATACCGGACACACTTGACCTTACATCACAATCTACATTACATCTTATTTAGAAAATACCGGACATTATATTTTCTCATTTATATTTTCTGAATTTGTTTCCTGAACAGAAATCTCAAATACTGGACTGTCTGGTTCAAAACTGGACACCTGGCAACCCTAGGTCTACCCCACTACTCTGGGTCCCAGCCACTTCAGCTTTGCAGGCTTCTTAGGTAACTTTCAGCTTCTTGGGAAGGGTTTCTCACAGTCGTCTGTGCTATAGCATAGATAAAGTGAAAAGTCACCATAGTGCTAGGGAACTACTGGTGCCAGAGGAGCCTCCTTTCATCTGTTCTGAATTACTCTGGGACAGAAATGGCCCCAGGCTGGGGTAGTGAAAAGATGGTTGGAGCCATTTCTCCTCCTACACCTTGGGTACTGTGCCAGGCAGAGCTCAGCTGGACCAAATGCCTGACCTTCAGCCAAGTACAACATTATAGGATGAAATCGTTATGACTGAAAACCTGAAGATCATAGAGTGCACTCTCAGGTCTAGATTTCCAAAGGAACAGTTTTTGGTCTTTCAGGTTTGGGGTGTTCAACCTGACACACTAAAGGGAGCTTGATTTTCAGAGGGCAGATACTCAGCAGAGACAGACACCGGCAGAGTCTCTCAGGCTGAACATACAGAATCACTATCACTCTTGGCCTACATTCTATAAACCAGTTAATACACTGTTGCTGAGGGGCTTTTGAGTGCTGCATATTTCACTCTCAATTCTTGTGGAGATTAGATTCTGCAAGTGAAGTACCAATAGTGTAACTAAAGGTATCATAGAATCATAGAATCATAGGACTGGAAGGGACCTCGAGAGGTCATCGAGTCCAGCCCCCTGCCCTCAAGGCAGGACCAAGCTCCGTCTACACCATCCCTGACAGATGTCTATTTAACCTGTTCTTTTGTTTTTTTCCTATTTATATTGCTATAAAACCTTTTACTATTGGTTTTAATTCCTTTGCAAGGTCCAACTCTACCTGACTTTTAGCCTCTCTCACTTTGTCCCTACATGCTCTAACCTCAATAAGGTAGCTTTCTTTACTGATCCCTCCCATCTTCCACTCCTTATATGCTTTCTGATTTTTCTTAATCACCTCTCTGAGATGCTTGCTCATCCAGCTTGGTCTAACACACCTGCCTATAAATTTTTTCCCTTTTCTTGGGATACAGCCTTCTGACAGCTTCTGCAACTTTAACTTAAATTAATCCCAGGCCTCCTCCACCTCAAGATCCATAATTTCTTTAGTCCAATCAACTTCCCTAACTAATTTCCTTAATTTATTAAAGTTAGCCCTTTAGGTGAATCCTATTCCGACAAATCAGAAAGATGGATGTATTTCTTAGGACTATTATGTGCAACTTGGTTTCCCTGCTCAGTCTTATATCATTGCCTTGCCTGGATCCACAGAGTTAATTCAAAAAAAGCTATGAAGGAGGGTTGTTAAGGAAACCAGGAAAGGTAAAATGATGATACAGAGAAGACAGCCTCTCAGGTACCCGATTCAAAGGAATAAAGACAGCAGTGGTAGGTGAAGAACCTATCTGGCTGGCACCTTCCAAGCTAGGATGTTTCTCTCTTTCCAATCCTAGG